CAGGTGCTGGTCAGAGGGCCCTGCCATAATCCCCCAGGCCCTGGCAGATAGCCCACCTCCAGGTCTGCTGGCGTTGGCCCCGATCTGAACACACTGTGCTGTCTAACAGGGTGAGAAACGGATCCCCTGCCATGGCATGAGTGTCCAGAGCATCGACACGACTTCCCTGTTGCCTCTTCAAAGTAGATTTTTGTCCCGTCCTGGCTTGGCAGCTACCCTTGGCTGCCGCGTTTCCGTGAACTGTGAATTTCCTGCATTATGCAACAGGTTGGACTAGATGACCCTCAGGGGGCACTTCTATCAGTCATAGAAGCTAGCATGGGACCAAGCAGGACTTCCTAGGGGCCACCAGGCATTGATGCCCTGAGCTGCTCTGCCCTCCTCTGCAAAAAATACATGCAAACCCGGTTGACTCAATTAGCCAAGTTATAGTTTTGCTTTTCTTGGTACCATTTTTATTAAAAAAACGGAGGGAGTGCCTCCTTTTGGCAGCTATCAGATAGGACTGCAAGCAGGCCCTGGAGCCTATGGAGACAGTCAGGGCATTGCCAGGATCTCGAGGGCCAGTTTGTCTGCTTTAGGCTCAGACCAGAAGCATCACGGGCCCTTGGAAGACCAGAGGCCGCAGCCTTTAAATCCCTCTTCCTCGCCTCCTTTCCTCCCTTAGGTTGACGGAAACACTGGCTCAGGCGGAAGCAGAGCTGAAGGGGCTGAACCGGCGACAGCTCTCTCTGGAGGAGGAGATCCAGGTCAAAGCGAACACCCTCTACATTGATGAAGTGCTTTGCATGCAGATGAGGGAGTCCATCTCCATCAACAACTTCTAACGCCACGGCACAGAACCAGTCGGGTGGACTGCGCCAGACTGCCCAAGTCTCTCCTTGCCTTTAAGTTGACCAAATAGCCACTGTATACTTTATAGACAAAATAAATTAGGAGACATGAGTGGCCAGAGTTCCATGATGGGACCACTGGCTCATGTTAGGAGTCAGCAGCCACCATAGCTGTCAGGCAATCCTCACAGGGAGCTGGACTAGAAAGAGCTAGCAGACCAAGTGGGACTTGAACCCAGGGCCACGTTTAGAACGTATTTCTCATTGCATCTGAATGCATAACCGTTCACATAATAGGAGCCCACATTGAAAAGCACTGTTTGTGCATGTTCCTTCGGTATGGCTCCTCTCCATCCATTATTATTATACCCTCAGAGAACAGTTTTGTGGCCATCTACAAATTGCACGTCAAGTTTTCAAAGGCACTTCTGTCTGGCAATGTAAAGGGTTCCTGCCCTAGCTTTGCCAGGTTCGGGAAACTGCCTACTAAGGTGAGAAACAGGGCTTAAGGAGGGCAGGCACTTTGGGCTTTCAGCACCCTGAATGGTTAAGCCAATCAAGGCACGCGGTCCTTGTTCACCCCTTCTTCCTTTGCCCCATCAGCCCTGTCAAACTAGAGATGCTGCCCAGAGCAACTGGCTTTTTTACGTGTGCATTTAGCGGACTGTCCAGCTAGTACAACTTTATCCCACCCTCCTTCCAAGGAGTTCAAGGCAGTGTGCATAGCCCACCCCCTTCACACTTATCTTGAGAATGCTGTGAGGTTGTGTGTGTGAGAGGTTGTGTGTGTGTGTGTGTCTGTGTGTGTGTCTGGCCGAATGTCATCCAGCAAACCGCATGGCAGAATGAGGATCTGAACTCTGGTCTCCCAGGTCCTAATCTAGGACTCTAACTACTACACCACGCTAGCTCTGTTCTCGATCGGCAGGACACTGCTATCTCTCCCTACTGGTTATCGAGCCCCTCCCTTTCTTTCTTGGGGGGTGGGGGACACTGGAGCAGGGGTCACTAGCAGCAGAACTTGGAGCGGGGGATGTTTGTCGGGAGGTCTTTGCAGATCCTTTTCGACACCAAAGAGGCTTCAGCATAAACTTCAGAGCAGCTTTTCATTCTCAGGCTCAGATGCAAATTGTAGCTCTTTTATTCTCAATAAGGCAGATTCAGGCTGATGCGATGCAAAGGGCTTTACTAAACGGAGCTGCTGGGAAGGAGAGGCTCGTTCTGGCCGCTGCCACGTTTCGCTTCCCGCTTTTCTCGGGAAGGGCTCACATTGATTCCTCTGTAAGACAAGGAACGGGCATCAGCTTCAGAACTAGAAAGCAGGGACATCCTTGTACTCCCCACCACCACCTCCTCCTCCTCCCAGGCTTCTAGTCACACAGAGCCTGCTGGGCCTGGGAAAGGGAGGCGGTGGCTCTTCTCTTGGATTCTCTTCACTAAACCCTTGAGTAAAGCCAAGAAGGAAGAGGACTTGCGCCACCCCCCCATGCAGCAATCTGTGCAGCAGAAAATGCTTCATCTGCCCTCCCCCCTTATATGAACTTCTGAAGCTGCCTTATAATGCATCAGTTCATCAAGGTCAGTCTTGCCTACTCTGATTGGAAGTGGCTCTCCAGGGTCTCTGATAGAGGTCTTCACATTCTACCTGATGCTGAGAATTGAACTGGCAACCTTCTGCATGCTAAACAGATGCTCTACCGGTGAGCCATGCCTCTCTCCCCCACCTCACAGTCAGAGTTTGGGACCAAGGGGAAACTCCACTGGCCCATTACACTGCCGATCTTCTTCCCATGAGCAAGTGGGTGAGAGATCCAAATCAGACACAAGGGGGCCAGGCAAGTTCGGCAGGTGCCTACAGCTTCAACCCCAACGACCTATTGCTTAAATAGAGATTATTGAAGGGGGATCACTCAGTACTCAGAGGGGGGGCCTTTACTGCCGGGTAGCCTGGCTCCCTACCCCCCCAGTGGAAGATCAAAGGAGCCCATCCCGCTTCCTCTAGTCATGGCTGTTGCGGAATGGGCTTGGTGTCGCTAGGCGGATAGCAGGCCTCTGGGGGCAAAGGGATTTGCCATGCCCTGGATTACAAATCTTGGTCTTTGAACCTCTTGCCAGTGTTCTCAGGCTTCGGTTGGCTCAATCCACTGTGCAGTTGTCATTTCTAGGAGAACCAGACCTTCACTGCATTGCATTTTGGGGTCTAGTCACGGGAGATTCGGGGGGGGGGGCGTTAATATTTCTATCTAGGGTCAACATCCCTCACTGATGACAATTGCCTTGGAGGCCCACTCAGTGGGCAAATGTGCCATACAGGAAGTGGTCACGCATAACGCACAATCCCCACAGGGGCAGGAGGGGAAGACAAGGATCCTCCATCCTGTTTTGAACCTCCGGCTGCTGGGAAATTAGGGTGCTGGCAGTGATGCTTATGGTCCAAGGGCAGCTTCCCTCGGTTGCAAGGCCACTGGGTGGTGGTGTTCATTTGTTCCATTTTCCACATGGGGGCTTCCGTGGCTCGTGTATCAACCGCACTGTCAGAAGTGACACGGTACCTTCTTTCCTCATGAGACGAGGACTTCGACGAAGCACCTGCAAGGAGGTCTCTCTCCGACACTTTCTCTGAAATAGAAGAAATATAGGACTGCAAGGTGAAGATGTGTCTGATTGATTTACTCCCCTCCATTTGTTGTCTGGGGTCTGCCTTTCTCTTTGGGACTCAAGGTGGATTACAGAGTTATAAAGAAGACAGTGCAATGAAGATAGAATAGTGCAAACTGGACGGCACAAATTAAAGTACAACAAAACCCAAAAATTACCAACAACTTCCCAAACTAGACTTCACAATTTGAGGATGCTGAAGAACAGTCTAATATGACTGGTAATCGATGCAATATGAAGGGGGAGGAAAAGAAAGCTGCCTAACAACCACACAGGCAATTAAAATTAAAACTTTATTCCCCATACAGAAATGACCCTCCAGCAGAGTTCTATTTTATTACATTGGTATTCCCTCTATGCAAATACCCTCTTCTACTCCTGACCCAATGTATTCCTAAATGTTATTTTGAAGGCTTTTATGCACTTTCAAAGTTACTAAGCATAATCAGCCATGTCCATGAATCTATCCAAAGTGAAAAAAGCATTAGGGTGACACCATCACATTTGGAATCCCGAGAAAAGAAAAAAAGGTAGATAAAGATTTTTCCTAGTGCTTTAACAATTTTCAGAAAGAAAAAAAGGTAGATTTTTCCTAGTGCTTTAACAATTTTCAAGATTGGCAATCAGCCTTTCCAAAAACCACATTTGAGGTGTTCAGCCAAAGATCTCCAGGCAACATCACCAACAACGGTTTTCTTAATAGCAATTTCATCAACAACAGAGACAGCAATCTCAGGGGCCGAAAACGCTAAACAAAGGCCAAGTGAATTTCTTTAAAAGGCTAGACACGGAAATATTTGCATCATGGGAATTATTATACTGATGCTAAGATTACCCACGTAAATAGCATTAATGGGATGCCAGGGATTTTATGGAACATGGAAGCGCCATGATCCCAGGCCCTTATTAATTACATTAGACGAACAGAAGAAGGATGGGGGAAGTCAGCCAGTTAGCGTTGCTTTCCCTGTTACAAGTGAATTTTCCCAGCAGCCCAAATGCCACACCCAGGACTAGCGCAGGCTGGGAAACAACACTAGATGGGAAGCTGAAGCCCTTTCTCTGCACGTACCCCATGCAGGAATTGAGGCATTTGCATTTATTTATATCCTGCTTTACTCCCCACAGTTGAGAACCAAAGGGGCTTAAAACATCATTTTCCCCACTCCACTTTCTCACAACAAAACCCCTATGAGGTAGGCCAGGCCGACAGTTTGCGACAGACCCAAGGTCACCCAGTGAGCTTCCGTGGAAGAAGTGGGGACTCGAACCCAGATCGCCCTGGGTCCTAGTCTGCCACTCTAGCCACTGCACCACACTGGCTCTCTAGGAGAACCCACAACTTGCTTCCGACTCATGGGAACCCTAGGCCCGACCTGCATACTCCATAATGTGGTAGTACTGTGCCTGGCGAAAGCTTTCCTCTTCCTCACCTCGTGTTTCTGCAGAGTGGGGCTGGGCAGGAGGATGTTGCACTGAGAACAAGTCACCAGCGTGTCATAGAGGGAATCCTCGAGGGCCTGGGGTGCAGCAGAGGCCAGAGTAGTCACAAAGGCCGGCTTTCTGCTCTTCGCAGGCTTCAGTGAGGGCCTCCCGACGGAAGACAGCTCCTTCTTCTTGGGGCGGGCACCTTGTTCCATGGCCTCGCTCAAATCAGGGGGAGTCGGAGGGCGCTGAGGAGGTGAAGGAGAGCCGCCAGGCTCTGTGGGTGAGCGGGTGGTGAGGGCTCCCAGAAGCTGAGGGAGCGGGTTGCACTCATTCTGTGGGGGAAAGAAAAGGACGGCTCGGTGTGTCTGCGAAGGGTGTGGCGACGTACTCAACAAAATAACCCCCAAATGTACAAACACACTAGTTACCACACCAAGGGGATGTTTTATATTATCCAGCATCTAGTTCTAGTACCTTTTTGCCCTGACCTGGATAGCCCAGTCTCATCAGATCTTGGAAGCTAAGCAGGGCTGGCCCCGGTCAGTATTTGGAAGGGAGACCACCAAGGAATACCAAGGTTGTGACCAATGTTCCCTCTAAACTGTGGAGTCTTGTGAGCAAAACTACTACTTGGTGAGCGACAGGCATTAAAGCTGTGAGCGAGCGATTTGTCTGCTGCATCAATTAGTTTGCTCTGGAGCCATACTTCCTGAGCGAAGACAAAAATGTGTGAGCCGGAGGCTAAAAAACTGTGAGCCAGCTCACACTGACTCAGCTTAGAGGGAACACTGGTTGTGACGTGGCAATGGCAAGCCACCTCTGAACCCCATGGGGTTGCTGTAAGTCAGCTGCGACTTGACAGTGGGGGGGGGGGGGGAAGGTTTTTTTCCTGCCATTTTTCAAGTGCTGGGGATTATTAGGAAGGGTATTGAAAACAGATCAGCCAATATCATAATGCCCCTATATAAATCAATGGTGCGACCTCATTTGGAATACTGTGTGCAATTCTGGTCACCACACCTTAAAAAGGATATTATAGCTTTGGAAAAAGTGCAGAAAAGGGCAACTCGAATGATAAAAGGGTTGGAACACTTTCCCTATGAGGAAAGGTTAAAGCGCTTAGGGCTCTTTAGCTTGGAGAAACGACGACTGAGGGGTGACATGATTGAGGTTTACAAGATTATGCATGGGAAAGAGCAGGTAGAGAAAGAGGTACTGTTCTCCCTTTCTCACAATACAAGAACTTGTGGGCACTCAATGAAATTGCTGAGCGGTCAGGTTAGAACGGATAAAAGGAAGTACTTCTTCACCCAAAGAGTGATTAACACTTGGAATTCACTGCCACAGGAAGTGGTGGCGACTAAAAGAATGGACGGCTTCAAAAGGGAATTAGATAGGCATATGGAGCAGAGGTCCATCAGTGGCTATTAGCCACAAGGTATAGATAGGGGCTCTGGGGCAAGTGATGCTCTGTCTTCTTGGTGCTTGGGGGGGCCAACAGTGGGAGGGCTTCTAATGTCTTGGCCTCACTGGTGGGCCTCCTGATGGCACCTGGTATTTTTGGCCACTGTGTGACAGAGTGTTGGACTGGATGGGCCTTTGGCCTGATCCAACATTGGCGTCTCTTATGTTCTTAAAGCAGAAAGTTGTTTTGATCATCAGCTGTAATCACAAATGAACCACACATCAAACAGCCACTAGTGGGACAAAGGCCTTACCAGGTGCTGGAGGTATTCCTCGTCAGGAAAGCAGCTCTGGCAGTGTTGGCATAAGTTCTCACTGGAGTCTAAGGAGGGAGAAAAGAGCGAGCAGAGGGCTTAACGCAAAGTAATGGCTCTGGACAACCCCACAGAGCTCAGAAGAGCCTTTGAAGGGTCAGTAATTGGAGACACCGCCAACCATGGAGGCCTTCTTCATTCCCTGGGAGAATTTGGGACACAGGTTGAGCCCTGGAAATTGGCCAACGATACCTTTTGATACAGTTGTCTCACATGGTATGGGAGAAGCCCCTGGTCAGCCATTTTAAGAACTGAGTGGGAGCTGGTGGGCTGGGCCCTCAATCCACCCGCCCACCATTGAAGAGGGCTCACACCACAGCAAGTTCTGAAGCCATCAGCATCTCTCACTGGAAGGGCCACCACTTCCCCTCACAGATCAACTAACAGAGACATCTGATCAATCAAATAATGTCCTGTCAACAGATGTTCATATATTTATAATACGTTGCATTTGGGTAGTGCTTTCAGTGTTCAGAGTATTTTAGATGCCCTTACAATAACTTTACAAGGTAGGCCAATATTGCCAGACCCCTTTTCCTAGGCAGAAAGAGAGAGAAAGGCCTGCTTAAAGCTATTTCGTGGAGTTTGTGGGGCAAAGGCCACATCTGACCCCACCTCCCAAACCACAGCAGTCTCTTTTCCCTCTCTGCTACGCTGGCTTCTGTAGACCACACAGAAACCGCAGGTGTCTGGTAGTTATTACTGAAATGAGAGGTTGCTAGATAAGATCTCGGTGACAGAGATACAATAATTTCTGTTGTTTTTTCCCCAAATGTGTTTTCGCTGCTGTTGTTAAATTGTGCTAAAAATAAAATAACTTGGGTGACTTTTTATGAGTGTTGTTAAATTGTTTAGTTAGATACAGTGAGGCCCCTTAAATGATACTACCAAAGGAAAAACAAATTTTACTGGTTCATAGCCCAGTAGCACCTTAAAGACTAACAAAAAATGTGGCAGGGGACAAGCTTTCGTGCTGTCCGAAGAAGTTTCCGTGGTCATGTGGCCGGCATGACTAAACACTAAGGCGCACGGAACGCTATTACCTTCCCACTGAAGTGGTACCTATTTATCTACTTGCAATTTCTTGTTTTCGAACTGCTAGGTTGGCAGGAGCTGCAGCTAGAGACGGGAGCTCACTCCATCTTGCGGCACCCGGGTCTCGAACTGCTGAACTACTGACCTTCCACAGCCCGCAGTTCAGCGTCTTAACCACTTGAGCCACCGCAGCTCCTAGTAGCACCTTAAAGACTAACAAAAAATGTGGCAGGGGACAAGTTTTTGTGAGTCACTCCTCACTTCTTCAGCAGTGACTCACGAAAGCTCATCCCTTGCCACATATTTTGTTGGTCTTCAAGGTGCTACTGGACTCTTGCTCTTTTCGACTGCTACAGACAGACAAACACGGCTACCCATCTTGATCTATCTTTTACTGGTTAATGTAATGTAAGCTTTAGGTATTAGGTTACAGCTGCTTGAATATAATGAGAGACAGTTAATTAGGAATGATGGGTTGTCTTATTTGCATGTATGTATAGGTGGCTTACAACACTGTTCTTCCCTCCTCCATTTTATCTTCACACCAACCTCGCAAGGTAGAGTGACTGGCCCAAGGTTGTCCAGTGAATTTCTATGGCAAAGTGGGAATTTGAACGTGGGTTTCCCAGATCCTACTCTAACAACTACACCACAATAACCTAGGAGTGATAGTGAGTTATGTACTTAAGCCAGAATTGCAGCTATTCCCATGGTGTCTGATTGTCAGTGGAGAGTAGAGAGAGAAGGAATCCTCCACTGGAGAAGTGGTCCATGGCCTTGGGGTCATGGCATGCTGCCATCTTGATCATATTGCTCTTTGCTCCAAACTGCTACCTGGGAGGTCAAGCCAAGCTATACCTCTCCAGGAGCTGGATATGACCGGAGGGGGGGGGGCACCTAATTGCTCATGCTAAATTATCAGGGCCAAGCTTCTTATACAAGCTGTGTGTGGTTGCACAGCCACTGTAAGAACCAATGCAGTCAGGAAAACTTGGTAAGACGGGGTAAGATCTGAACTCACTGTGGCCTCGGTCTCTCGCCTGGCACACGGCTTTGTGCTCCTTCAAAGCTTTGTACATGACGTACTTGCTGCAATGCCAGCACGATGTGGTCCGGCTGCCGCAGGCATCCAGGTGAGTCTGCAGTTTGTGGTGGGGAAGGTCCAGCTCGCAGAACTGGCACTGAACCATCCGCTCAGGGCACTCCTCAGACTGCGGTCAGAGGTAGAAAAGGAGACCCGTGTGAGGTCAGGAAGAGAAGAAGAGGAGATTGGATTTATACCCTGCCCTTCACTACCCAAAGGAGTCTCAGAATGGCTTACAATCCCTTTCCCTTCCCCACACAACAGATACCCTGTGAGGTAGGTGAGGCTGAGAGAGCTCTGAGAGAACTGTCCTTGAGAGAACAGCTCTGAAAGAACTTATGACTGACCCAAGGTCACACCAGCAGCTGCATGTGGAGTAGGGAATCAAACCCGGTTCTCCCAGATTACAGTCCACGCTCCTAACCACTACATCAAACTACACCAAACTGGCTCCTAACCACTACACCAAACTGGAGTGGAAGGCCAGAAGGACACAGGAAGAATTCTAGCACAGGCCTCGTCACTCAGACGCACTCTGGTGAGCAGGCAGGGGGAAGGTGAGATCCCCAGGTACGTGCTACAGGGACAGGGAGTTACCAGGTATGTCAGCCATCTCCCCTTCACCCCCCAGTTAGCTCGCCCCTGCCTCAGGGCCAAACAACACCATGTGGTTTTTAATGAGTCGGGCCTATCCCTTGGGGGAAATACAGCCTACACTGCTGGTCTTCTTACCTCATGGCGTTCCACTAGGTACTGCTGCATCAGCTGATGGCAGAGCTGACACCTGACCTGTGAGTGGGAAAAGCAGGGAGGGGCGGGAAGACAGCTTTCCAACAGAAAGACCCACAGAAGGCAGAAAGGGAAGCCCCCTGCCCCGGCCACCACTTCTGCTGTCAGGAACCTGCAGTGACTCATGATGTGACCCCCAGTTTTGAACACAGAGAAAGGGGCTTCCGCTTGTCTAACTTCCACCTAGCAACCTGGTACGAAAAATGCTCTTCAGACAGTTAGATGTGAGGCTCCAGTGGGGGGAAGGGAACCCTGGAAAAATGTAGGAAATCCTCTGCATTTCCCCAACTTTTCCATGGGGGGGTGGGGGACCCAACAGTCTTTGTTTTGTCCTAGCAGGTATCATTTGCCCCAGGGGATAAATGCCACAACAAAGTCTATGTACATCCCCCCCCCAGATCACAGGTGTCGAACTCATTTGTTACGAGGGCTGGATCATTCTGACATAAATGTCACTTTGTTGGACTGGGCCACGTGTGCCAAAAATGTAATGCCGGGTACCGGAGATATAAATTTTATACATGACCCAGGCAAACCCAATTAACAATATTATTTTTAACTCAAAATACAAACGTGCTTAAACATTAACACTCATACAGTATTTCCCTAAAATACCTCCCAGATGCCCACCCTCCCACTTCCACCGCCCATTACGCATTAGCACTGGGACAGTATACAGGGACATAATGCACAGCCTTTGTCATCTGGTGAGAAAGGTAATGAATGACCAGTTGCTAGCGGGCTGGATAAGAGCCCTGGATGGGCCGGTTCCGGCCCACGGGCCGTGCGTTTGACACTCCAACTCTAGATGGAGCATTCACTCTGGGTTCTCAGAGGGGGAACCTCAACCCTAGAGGTGAGGGGCGGCACCTACCTCCTTGTGGGCTTTGGCAAAGTGCTCCTTCATGTCCTTTGATGCAACGAGTTCATCACACTTGGGGCAGATGGCGAGAAAACGCATGCAATGAGCCTCATGGAGGGAGAAGTTGGCAGCTGCCACATCGCGCTTGCTGAGCAGGAGGAAGGAAGAGCCTTTCATGTCCCGAGTTTGTGCCTACACAGTTCTTCAGTTTGATAATATTTTGTGATATTTTTGAAATTCATGCCAGTGGGCAGCCAGGAAACGTGAGCTCAGTGGCTTCGATTCAGATTAAGGTTGCCAACTCCAGGTTGGGAAATACCTGATGTTTTTGTGGGTGGAGCCTGGGGAGAAAGGTGTTTCGAGAGGCGTGACCCTCAGTGGGGTCCAGAGAGTCTACCCTCCAATGCAGCCATTTTCTCCAGGTGAACTGATCTCTGCTGCCTGGAGATGAGTTCAAATTCCAGGAGATCTACAGGCCCCACCTGGAGGTTGGCAAACCTAGTTCAGAGGCCTGGAACTGCTACCAGAATTTCACCTGAGGCGATATTTGAAAGGAATCAGAATCAGAACTTCATTACAATCCAAGATCAGAAAACAAGATCATCAACAAAACATATACAATAGTTGTGTGTCATAAAAATACTGAACATAACTTGGTAGAATAAAATTTGTTAAAACAAAACCATGTTCTTCTGCCTAATTAATCATGCAAAGCCTCTCGCAGCCTCACTTACCTCACAGGATATAACCTATGCTCCCTCTAAACTGTGGAGTCTTGTGAGCTGCTGGCATTCAAGTTGTGAGCAAGGGATTTGACTACTGCATAAATTAGTTTGCTCGGGAGCCATCCTATTAAGCAAGCATATTTCTGACTCCAATTTCAGTTCTATTTCAGTTATTTCTGCTATTAATTGATTTACCATTTTCCAAAATTTCCAACACTGAATAACTCTGAGGATCAAATGGTGAAGGGAGAGCCACAGCCACTGACCAGAGCAGGGTACAAGTGCAGTTGTAGTCTAGAGTTCTGATTGGCTAGCAAACTGTCACATGGGCCTCTTGAGTTAAATGGAGGTGGTGACAGCCAATGATACAGACGGCTATTAGAAGCTTTAAAAAGCCCCCCAGGAGGGATCCTCCTCTGCTGAGACCAGCAACTGGAAACCTCTTGTGCTGACCTCACACAGTGCCAGACTGTGGCAGGACAAATGGAGTCCCATTTTGCTCAGCATGGTGGGTGTATTTATTGCTCCAACTCAACATGGGGGGGGGGGGGGGTCAAGCTGGAACAGGTTCAGATCATGGCTGGAAAGCCAGCCAAATCCTGAGGAGGGTCCAGTGTTCCCTCTAAGCCAAGTTACTGTGAGATAGCTCACAGTTTTTTAGCCTCTGGCGCACACATTTTTGTCTCGGCTCAGGAAGGATGGGTCCAGGGCAAACTGATGTATGCAGCCGCTACATCGCTCGTTCAGAACTTGAATGCCAGTAGCTCACAAAGTAGGATTTTTGCTCACAAGACTCCCCAGCTTAGATGGAGCATTGGGAGGGTCCCCTCCATTACGGCAGCAATGGTTTCCAACTAAACTTTGGAGTGTGGATCTTCACAGAGAGGGAACGTGGCAGGGTGGCGGCGCCCTCCCTTCAATCCACACCAGAGCCCTCCTTGCAAAACACATACAGGTACTCTTGTCTTGGTGGTCCCTGGCACTAAAGCTATCCGGTTGTCCTCGACCAGGGCCTTTTCGGTCCTGGCCCCAACCTGGTGGAACTCTGCCAAATACGATCAGGGTCCTGCAATTCCGCAGAGCCTGTAAGGCAGAGATGTTCCACCAGGTCTTTGGTTGGGGACAGCAACGGTTTCCATCATAGCTGGCACCCTTCCTGCCCCAGCTGCTTTCCATATCTGTTCTACCCTCTTCCCCCCTGCCCGTGAAGCGGCCAGCAGTCTGTAATATGGTCTGGGGCCTGTCTACCTGCGGGACCGCCTTTCCCCGTATGTTCCCCCAAGAGCACTGAGATCTGAGTCGCAGGACCGTTTAGTCCCCCCTGGCCCTAGGGACGCCAGGTTAACAGCTACAAGGACTAGGGTGTTCTCCTTGGCTGCACCAATATGGTGGAACCAGCTCCCACACGAAATTCGCGCTCTGAGGGATCTCCACCAATTCCGCAGAGCGGTAAAGACGGAGCTGTTCCGTCAAGCGTTCAATAGCCCAGACCAATCATTATAGCACTTTATATGGCTCGCCGCCATGTGTAAATTGTACTGTTGTTGTAAATTTGTAATTTTATTGTTCTTGCTATAGACTGTTTTAGATGTATTGTATTAATTTTACTGGTTTTCATGGTTGTAAGCCGCCCTGAGCCGCTTCGGCGGGAGGGCGGGATAAAAATCTAATAAATAAATAAATAATAGGATAAATTAATATTCACCATCTTTTGTTTAAAATATCTTATTAAAGTTTTAATTGGTTTATCTTGATATTTTTATGAACGATGTCCATTGCTCAGAGCCCTTTACTGCAGGGGTTGGGCAATTAACACATTTTATAAATAAATAAAATAATTAACTGCAATCATATTTTTATGCCAATAAAGGTATTGTATTTGTTAACTGCAATCATATTCTCTATGCAATCAAAGCAAAACTGCTGATGTTCCATACTGATACTTCTAAAGTGGTCTTTGAAAAAAAAGTCCCTTACAATAAATAAAAATAGATGTAATAATAATAAAGGCAGTATGATGCGCCAGACCTCAGTGAGAAAAGTGGACTATAAACGGGGATACCAACATCCCGGTGGTGGCTGGAGATTTCCCGCTGTTACAACTGATCTACAGAAATTCAGTTCACCAGGAGAAAATGGCTGCCCTGGAAGTGGTCTCTATTGGGACCCCATTGAAGGCCCTCCCCTCCCCAAACCCCGCCCTCCTGAGGCCCTATCACCAAAATCTCCAGTTGATTCCCAGCCGGGCAACTCCAGCACCCCGCCCCGCCGTCTCCTCTCATGTTTGGGGGCATATTTATAGGTATGTATTGCTTTCGGGGCCCCAAAACCGTTGCCTGTCACTGACACGCAACAACTGACGGCCCGTTAGGCTTCCAAAAGCCCTACATGCATTCCTTTGCCCTCGAAACTGGAAGCTCTTGAGATTGCCCGAAGAAAGCCCAGAGCCGAACCGACCTTTCCAGAGGAGTAGCGGCGTTTTAGTTGGCTGCGGGTTTTCCTAAGTCTTGCCACCCACTCGACTTCTGCTGAACTTTGGCTGCGAAAGAGGGAATATAGGAAACGAAGGCACCACAGACACACCACCACCCCCATCCCATGAAATTTCGTACCAGTTCTTGCAGAGCCTCGTCTCTTCCTCCATCTCTCGCCTCGGCTCCTCTTTCACTTTCATTTCTGCAGTATTCTGCAAGGGGTGGAAACGAAAGTCATGCAGCTGACTCATCATCAAGGGACCCAGAAGCTTGGTCCTTTCCTACGCTCTCCAGCTAGCCCCCCCCGCGCTCCAGATTCTTTTCTCTCTCTCCAGTAACACAATTTGCAGGAAAGATCTTTGAAGCGCCGCCGCCCCCGGAGGCCCTGAAGCGTTTGGAGGCCACTAGAGGGTAGCAGAGGACTGCCTTTGACGCTTTTTAAACTTCCACAGGACACCTGTTAAGCCCCACAGAAGTGGGCTGGTGCAGGGCAAAAGCCAGAGGCTGATCTGGATCCAAAGGATCTTAAAGATCGCCATGGCATCCATTACATGGGTCCTTGTTTTAGTCATCACACGCCCTGCACTTGTGGGAGGCGTTTGTGGATCCCGGAAACTGAATTTGTGCTGTATGCTGGTTTTAGAACATTTAACTCTGTATGGATTGTACTTATTATTATATTGTATCTTAACTGTTGTGACCCGCCCTGAGCCCGCTTGTGGGGAGAGGGTGGGATATAAACCCAAGGATAAATAAATAAAAAAACAGTGTTCACGCTGGATCCGCAAACCCATGCTGTCAAGTCTTTGGAATCGGAAAATATTCATGTGCCTGGCTGGGTTCTGGCATGACCCTGCCCCGGCCAAGAGTGGGCTTGGATCTGAGATATATCACTTGGGCTCATCCTGATAAGAACATATGAAGAGCCCTGCTGGATCAGACCAGTGGTCCACCTAAGTCCAACAGCCTGTCTCACACAGTCGCCAACAAGTTCCTCTGGAGGACCAACAATTGGGTATGGAGACTGAGGCCTTCCCCTGATGTTGCCTCCTGGGGTTCAGAGGTGTAGTGCCTCTGAATGTGGAGGTTCCCCATAGTCCCATGGCTAGTAGCCACTAACAAACACTACCAGTGATACAGGGCGACCACTGAGGCAAAGTCTACTAGTTAGTAGATGAGAGACTTATAAGACTGAGCTGAAGAAACACTATTGGAAAAACCCTCATCCCCAGGACAAGAGCAGGGACAGTGACATATTTTCCCAGCAACAGTTCCTTACAAAATCACTTTGTACTAACGTCAACACATTTGTGTTCTAATCGTCTAGTCTGGCCCTGAAGTTAAACGTGCTCGATGGCAATTTTGCTACGCTACTTAATTCAAAGTGGGGAATGTATTGTCTGATTTGCCATTCATGGGATGTAAGCTGTTGCCTACTGGGATTTCTTCTCCGAGGGGAAAATAATAAGCATTTTCCTTTTTAGAAAGACAGGTTCCCAAGGGGGAGCAATCCATACAATGGAGGGATGACCGGTTTCCATCATGGGACAGCGAGACAAGGATATGTGCCATGTCTGTCTATCACAGCGATCCCCAATGTGGAGCCCATAGGTGCCATGACTCCCACTGACATATTGACTGGCACCGGCCACTGAGGCAAAGTCTACTAGTTAGCAGATGAGAGACTTACAAGACTGAGTTGAAGAAACACTATTGGAAAGACCCTTATCCCCAGGTCAAGAGCAGGGACAGCGACATATTTTCCCAGCAACAGTTCCTTACAAAATCACTTTGTACTAACTAACGTCAACACATGTGTGTTCTAATCTTCTAGTCTGGCCCTGAAGTTAAACGTGCTCGATGGCAATTTTGCTACGCTACTTAATTCAAAGTGGGGAATGTATTGTCTGATTTGCCATTCATTGGATATAAGCTGTTGCCTACTGGGATTTCTTCTCCGAGGGGAAAATAATAAGCATTTTCCTTTTTAGAAAGACAGGTTCCCAAGGGTGAGCAATCCATACAATGGAGGGATGACCGGTTTCCATCATGGGACAGAGAGACAAGGATATGTGGGTGCCAGGTCTGTCTTATCACAGCGATCCCCAATGTGGCGCCTATAGGTGCCATGACTCCCACTGACTGACTCCCACTGACATATTGACTGGCACCCACTTCCTTCTTCCCCACTGCTTCCTCAAAACAAAGATCCAACCCTGGCTTCCCTCCATCTTTTCGGTGCTTCTAAAACATCACCTTTGTGTCTGTAGACGCACCCGTTTCATCTTCGTACGCTTGGATTGGAATCTCTCAACTTTTTGTGACTGGCCGCAGCAGCACCCCATGGCAGCCATTTTGTGGTAGGCCGTGGCCCTCCCCTGGCAGCCATTTTGTGTTAGCACTCCTTGCCTGTTCTCAAAATCCCCAAAGTGTATTTTAGGTGTTTTTATCCTGTGCCAGAGATTCCTCAGGTGACTTTCACCCAACTGAAATATAATTTGGTCAAGGCCCCTGTGAGGCCTCTTGTACCTTTATGAGTTACAGAGGAGGGAGAATCCTGCTCAGCAGAGCTTCTCCTTTCACGCCACCCCAGGGACTGATAACTCAGCAGGCCCATGAGCACTCAGTGATTTGGAGTAAGCAGACAGTCTGAGGGAGGGAGGCAGCAGGGCAGAGACCTACCTTTTCCTGGGGTCACTGTCATGGTGTCTGGACCTTTCTTGAAGGAAGCAAAGTGCTTGACCACCTCATCACTCTCCCGTCTGGCCGCGTAACAATGGCCCTTGTCCAGCCAGCCAATCATAGCTTTGGTGCCCAGTCACTCCTCTTTGGAGGGGACTCTGCCAGTAAGGGCCACTTTCTGAGAAAGGAGAGGTGCTGGGGCTTGGCCCCCACCGGAAGACTTTCCCTCCTTGTGTGTAGGAGAGGGCATTCTGCGTATGCTCAGGGGCACTCTTTTCAGTGTGATTGTTTCATATGCTCCAGGCCTGAGCCCAGGCACTAAACACGGGCTTCAGCCATCACTTACAGAGGTCGAATTGTGATTGCAGGCCTCTTGGACCAGACCGAATTCAGAAGGTGGGATGCTGCTGCATATTCTCCTCCCCTGTGTGGCAGGGGAGGTGAATTCTTGGGAAGATGTCTGCCAACTGTAAAAGACCTGGGCGGAGCTTTTGTTTCCCTTTTTGCAGCTATTTAAGCCTGGGCGTAGCCAAACGGCTCTTGACCCACGGTTTGCAGATTGTGCCCCCAAGTGAGCTGGCCCAGTGGATTCAGGATGTTGTGTACGCTTTGCTTTTTTCTTAATTATCTGTTTTGCGTTTTGAGTACCCCAGGAGAAAATCGAGGTAAAGACACTTAAATACAATACTGGTGCCAGCTAATGATAAAGCCCAGTTCACACATTGCCTTTGTCGGCCTCTAGGATTGCCAACCTCCAGGTGGGATCTGGAGATCTCCTGGCATTACAGCTGATCTCCAGATGGCAGAGATCAGTTCCCCTGGAGAAAATGGCTGGTTTGAAGGGTGGCCTTTATGGCATTATACTCTGCTGAAGTCCCTCCCCTCCCCAAACTCTGCTGGGTTCTGTTAAGTCGTGAGCTTAAATAGTCGGAGAGTGATTTCAGCAAGAATGCGGCTTTTATTTTTCAGCTCGAATACTTCTCCAACACGGTACAACATCAGTCAGCCAGAACCGCTTTTGCATAGGAGCTGTTCTGTATTTAAACATTCCCGGCTAATGTAGCCACTCCCACTGTACAAATAACAACCTATCAGGTTGAACAGATAATGACCAATCACAAGCGCTCCCGCTCTGTAAAGTGATTGGATGACACATCCTGGGCTAGTGCTCCTATTGGTTACATTAGGATCCTAGCCCAGGCCGAAGCTTTACATTGTACTTCAATGGTATGTTTCACATACATCAAGTTCCATACAGTTCAGTGCATTCAGGTCTCTGAATACACAACAGGTTCCACTCCCCAAAATCTCCCAACCCTGCAATTATGAAGGTTGTTAACTGATCACCCACGAGGAGAGCCAGGCAACCAATCTTAGACTTGTATATAGGGTTGCCAACCTCCAGGTGGCACCTGGATCTCTCCCGGGATTACAACTGATCTCCAGGCAACAGAGAACGGTTCACGTGGAGAATAGTGGCCGCTTTGGAAGGTGGACTCTATAACATCACACCCCATTGAAGTCCTCTCTAAACCCTGCCTTCCTCACGCTCTGTCCCCCAAATCTCCAGGTATTTCCCAGCCTGGAGCTGGCAACCCTGTTTGTAGGAGCAAATTATGTTATCTCTCTAGTATGTTTCTATCCCACCCTTCCTCCAAAGAGCTTAGGGCAGCATAGGTGGTTCTCGCTTCCCTCCTCTGCTTTACTCTCTAACCATTAGGACACACTGCCTCACCACACTTTTTGCTGTGGATTTAAATATGGGATGAAACCAATCGACGAACAGCCCCGATGATAAACAGAAACACAAAGTTAACCCCACTCCAAACCACTCCTCATTACAATGGCGGCTATTGAATGGCTGCCTTGAGAATTCCTGTCAACCACCTCCTCCTATTGGTCTTCCTACCATGAGTCAGGTCAGCTTTACCTTCTCTTGAGGAAGGCTGAGGTCTGTTTGCTTCCTTGCCTCCCTCTCAGGGCCCGTGTCAGCTTCTCCCCATTCTCTGATAGCCATCAATGGATTTCTCTCTTGCTCTCGTCCTGACATGGGACATTTTACAATCAATGATAGTCACAGGTGGAGGTATGAGGCCGTTCCCCTGCATAAACTAGTGTCAGACAGCAGATCGTCTGGCTTCTCGTGGAAATCCTGGAGATGGTGCTGCTGTTTGGGGGAAATGAAGAACAAGGAAAGCATGACCAGCCAGCCCTGAAGCCACAATGGAGAGAAAAAAGAGGAAACTTTTGGAGGACAGGCAGACTTTTCCAGACTAGCCTTTCAAGTCTTGGGCTTCACAATCCTGTGGACAACTTCTGTGTTGTCCATCCCCCTCTCAGACCCTGTTTTCCCTTCTCTTCCTCCTATGTTGCTCTTGCCCTAGGAGATCTTGGGCCAGTCACTCTCAGCCTAACCTACCTCGCAGGGTTCTTGGGAAGCCTTCTGGTGATGCTCAGATCAGGGCCACAGTGAACTCCATGTCTCACCACACAGAATTGGTGGTGGTGGAAAGAGCTCTCAAGTCACAACTGACTTATG